GGGAGCTCGTGACGTCAGGGCTTAGCGAGGGGGCGCCGCCTCCTGGGTTCCCACCCCTCCTGGCCCTGCGGCCCGGCTTGCCCTTTAAAAGAGCGGGGCCTGCGCCAACCGTACCACACCGCGGGGACCTGGACACACAGCTGCTTTCCCGGAGCATCTTTATCTCGCCTTCTGCCCGCATCTCACTCACCGGTCCAGCCGCCATCCTCTTCTCCGTGCAGATTCGGCCGAGCGGAGCCATGCAGCCGGCGGTGTTTCTCGGCCTCCTGGGAGCCGCGGTGGTGGCCGGTGAGTGGGCTCGGCCGGCTGTTCAGCACCGCGGACAGCGCTAGCCTCGGTCTTCCGGCCGCTGGGGAACCAGCTTGTAGATACTGGGGGAAGAGGAAGGGTTGAGTGGAAGGTTTCTCCTTCTTGCTTGAGATTCTTAATTTCTGAAACTCCCTGCTTCATCGTCTGACTTGGAAAAAGCCAGAGGGCTTCCTAGCCCAACCAGAAGAGTCTCAGTCTTTTCATATCTGAGTTTTCCTGTAGATAGAGAAAAACGTGCCTGCGCCTCCAAGGAAACCCCACATTTTGTGCTCACTTCTAAAATGTCATGCTCTCTCTACCTGGCTAGAGAGATGCTGCTAAAATCTTAATATGTAACTGGAATTAAGTATTTGTTTGGTTTTTTAAAGCCAGAGAACTATGGAGACACAAGAGTACATGTACTATGATATTAGTTGGCACCTGCATAATTTCCTTTATTATCATTATTATTTAAACATGATGAGATGAAAATAAGTCTCATATGTATATAAGATATCATATCTTTTTCTTAACATGTTCCTCTATATGTGTGTCTTTATGTATATATATGTACAAGTTTAACGTAATTTTTTTTGTATTTTATAGTTCCATTTCTGGGGAGAGGTAATTTCATACCCAAATTCATCCATTTTTAAGTATGAATGGAATCTGCAGTAGATATTTTGACTTTTGTACTCCAGGAAAATAACAATTATAAAACAACCACAAAGATATCCTTGAAGAAGTAAAAACAAAACTAAACAAACAAAAAAACCAAAACATCATTTTAGTCAATTCGGGAGGATGTAATTTTAAGTAGTAGATATTTGACAGTGTCTCTTTATGTGTAGAAGACTGTAGGGTTAATCTTTCAAACTACTATGAATCTTGAAGAAATGATCTCTGGAGATTTGGAAAAGTGTGTGTGTGTGTGTGTGTGTGTGTGTGTGTGTGTGTTGAAGTAAAATCACTAGACCATTTACCATGGAAGTAAATATGCTACCACCAGATTAAACTGGAGGTTTTCTGTTACTGTTTTAATAACCTCATAGGATATTGTTCCTATCTGAGATTGAGATTCCTAACTGGAATTGAGGTATTGCCAACCATGAATATGAAGTTTCCAATGACAGCAATTGCTGGATCCCAAATATAAAGACACAAAAAGAAAACCAATGGTAATTTATTTTATTGCAAGCTACACACATTCAGAATTTTTTTTAAAGATGTTATTTATTTATTTGACAGAGAGAGACACAGCGGGAGAGGGAACACAAGCAGAGGGAGTGGGAGAGGGAGAAGCAGGCCTCCCACTGAGCAGGGAGCCCGACGCCAGGCCTGATCCCAGGACCGTGGGATCATGACCTGAGCCGAAGGCAGACGCTTAACGACTGAGCCACCCAGGTGCTCCCAGAATTTTCTAACGTTCTTGTCACTCTTATAAATTGCCTATAAATGTTCTTAATTTAAAGAAAACTAAATGAATATTTAGAGTCTTTTCCAGTCAAAAATATTTTCAAAAAGAAACTGCTTAAAATGCTATAGCTATGCTATACATTGTGCTTTAGACTACAAAACAGTGTCATTTGTGAGACTTATTTTACTATAGTGGTAAAATATTTATAGCTCCTTTATGCAAGAGAACATTTTAAGAAGGGTTCATATTTTAATATTGGCTAAATTAGAGACATTATTTTTTGAGACATTATATTCTTTAAAAAAATTATCAAGCTATAATTCACACACCATAAAATGTACACTTTTAAAGTGCATAATTTAATATATTCACAGATTCTGTAATCATTATCAAATGTCAGAAGTTTTCCATTACCCCAGAAAGAAACCCCTATGCCCGTTAGCAGTCATTTCCCATTCCCACCTTCCACAAATGTCTGGAAATGAAACATGGTAACCTTCAAGCAAAGTTTGCTATTTAGCAAAATCACAGGGCTGAAGAAAACCTCAGGAAGCCATCTGGTTCATTTCCTACCCTTAAGAGCTTCTGAAGGGAGATCCATACCTTTCTACAGTAGCTACTGGGCACTCTAAAAAATTAATATGAGTGAAGTAGCTCTGTGATATCCATATTTTACTGGGTAAAATAGTTTCTGCATTCAGATGAGGTTGCTTAACTTTTTAAACTATAGCTGTATTTTTATTCTGGAATCAAACCTTAGTTTGATAGTCTTGTGATATATAATACTCTGGAAGTTATTCTCAGGTTTATCATACAATATAATTTGAAGATTTTCTACCATCTGACTACTTCACTTTTATCATAATCTTTGGGTTTTCTTTGGTGCCTCCTGAATCTTAATTTATACAAAAATAAGTTAAGCTACTTTAGGGGAATCAACATGTCTTTGGTTATTACTTTGCTGTCACAGATTCTATTGGAAGAAATACAGTGGAACTTAGGTGTCTCACCAAAATGCATAATGCACTTTTATAAGGAGACCTCAGCTCCTTTCCATCAAAAACAGGCCTGAAGAGCCTCAGAGAAACAGGACTGTCCTGCAATAACAAACATGAGCTATAAATTGTTTAGAGTGATAAAGAAAATATATCTCGGTTAAGCATCTGCCTTCTGCTCAGCTCATGACCCCAGAATCCTGGGATGGAGTCCCACATCGGCCTCTTCGCTTGCGCCTCTGCCTGTTGCTTCCCCTGCTTGTGCTTGTGCGCTCTCTTTCTGACAAATAAATTAAAAAACCTTTAAAAATTAAAAAAAAAGAAAAATATTTATCTCCGCCCAAATCTGATGACTGTTAATAGTTAGGCAATGTCAGTAGTTAATAAAAGTACCTACTTTACATTTGTGGGGTGGGGGGAAGTTATTAGCAAGAAACTGCATTACAAAGAAGGTTTAGTAAAGCTAGATTTTAAAAAGGCACCTTCTAGCTTATTAGAGGAGTAATTCTCTCAGTTATTTCTTTCCACAGAATTTTACAGATTCAGGTGCAAAGAATAAGTGCCAGAGTGGGAATGTTCCCAAATAATAGCCATTTGGGGGATAAAATAATGGCCCAGCATACTGGACCCTGGGTGCCAAAGGCAGGCCATCTGGATCTTGTTTGAACTAAATTTCAGGAAGATCGTGGGGTCTTCTTACCTTGTTAACCACTTCTCAAACAGTTTACACATGATTTTAACATGCTGGATAGCTTTGGGCTTCTTGAAACAATTGACGTAGATCCCCGGCCATGCTTTAAAAAGGAAAATTCAGTAAGGTGAGTACATGGAATAGGTGTTTTATTTCGAGACTGAGCTCTATGATCTGTAATTGATTAGAGGCAGGCAGTTAAGAAGGCTTGGAGAGCAAATATTTTGTGAGGAGAGGTCAGGTTGCTGGTTAAAAATAAATTGCATTTGAGTAGCTTTCATCTCTGATGTCTGAGAGTATTGCTCTTGCTCCAGCTAGTTCTTCTCTTGCTCAGGGATCTAGAAGAATTTTCTGCACTGAGCTTCTTCAGCTATAATAGCAATTGTCTACTCCAGGGAATGCCAGGAGAACTGTGGAGATGGGCCTATATGTAAATGCTTTAGCTTCTCCAGTGGAAAGGGCTTAGACAGAACAAAGTCAGAGTGAAAGATGAAAGAATCAAAGCAGCTTTGAAAGAAAAAAATGGCTTTGGAAAATTAAAAGCACCTGAAACATCTCCTAGGAAGACAAAGGCATTTGAATTGCTGGTTTAAAACAAGCAGAGTCTCATGAAATTTAATTTGAATAAATTAAAATTTATTCTTCTGTTTTTAAAGATTTTATTTATTTACTTGACAGAGAGAGAGAGAGTAGCAGAGGGAGAGGGAGCGGCAGACTCCCTGCCGAGCAGGGAGCTCGATGCGGGACTCGATCCCAGGACCCTGAGATCATGACCTGAGCTGAAGGCAGATGCCTAACCGACTGAGCCACCCAGGTGCCCCTAAAATTTATTCTTTTAAAATATCCTCATTAGCCAGCTGTTAAACACCTATTTGTACATGATATTACAGAATTGATGCTGTACTAGAAGAATGAGATCACTCCCCTGCTCTTTACTCATGGCTGCAGACAACGTGGGGAAAGGGAAATGCAACACTGATAGAGATGCGTAAGCAACCTTGTTCAGACAAAGGACTGGGGGTAAAAATGAAGTAATTAGTGATATAAGATAATCACAATCACGTCTTCAAAAATAAAGTAAGTTTTGGGAGGGATATATTCTTGGGGGCAGGAATAGGTAGAGGGAACCACAAATCTTTACCCATTTTGGGTAGGCAGAAGAGTTGAGGAGGGTACCTTGGTTTCATTTAAACTAGGTTTTAAACTTTTTATTTACATTTAGAAAACTGCACAGATCATAGTATACAGCTTAATGAATTTTTCACTCATTGAGCACATCTGTGTAATCAGTACCCTGATCAAGAAACAGATCGTTGCCAGGGCACCTGGGTGGATCAGTTGGTTGAGGGTCCAACTCTTGGTTTTGGCTCAGGTCATGATCTCAGGGTCATAGGATCGAGCCACGCTTCGGGCTCCATGCTCAGCGGGGAGTCTGCTTGAGATTCTCTCCCTCTCCTTCTGCCCCTCCCCCACTTATTCCCTCTCTCACTCTCAAATAAATGAATCTTTTTTTTTTTTTAAACCACGTTCTTTAATATACAAGAAACACATGAGACACAAAGACAGCCCAAGAAAGCGCTCAGTCCCCGAGCTGGGAGTTTAGGGGGGCGTTGAAGACAACAAGCCTTTCCAGTCTCCCAGGGAAAGATGGGGTTGAGGGGACGCAACATCACTAGGCCCCGGGTGAAGCCAGTGCTGGGGCCATACTCGGCCTAGTTCTCCACCAAGTTTGGAAAGTGCTGATTTTCCTTGTCCTGATCCTGGCCCTGCTCCCACACTCGGCCTCCAGTTTTCAGAAGTCGTCCAGTTCCCAGAACGGCCCCTTCCTTTAGCTCCCTAGCATTGTTACTCAGGGGAGAAGGCCGCTTACCCTGTCGTGGTGTCAGAGTTCCAGGGGAGTTGTCATCCTGTAGGATTGCGAGGGGAGATCTCCCTAGTACCTTGCCATTTGCTTTCCGTCTATTGTGCTTAGAACCTGAAGATCGGGGAGTCTCAGGGTCTCTCAAGGGCTTGTCCGAGCCCTGGCTGGCCATGGGGGTTTCTGAGGGTTGTCCTGCTTCCTCCTTGGAGAACACCTGCTTGGAGGGGAGCTCAGTCTGCCTCCAGGGTGGCATCTGGTCTTCAAGGGAAAACTGGGTGCCCAGAGGCAAGTCCAATTCAGAAGATGAAGTTGCCTCTAAGGGCAGAACAGGCTCTGGGGGCAGATTCGATCTGGGGGCTTCGGTCTCAAATACTTCACTCAGCTGTTTCACCAGTGGGCTTGGGGGTTCTCCGCTGCTGGTCTTCATAGGTGTCCGTGCAATGCCAAGAGTAGGAGAGCGGGGATCTGAGTCTTGGGCCTGATTGGGACCCTCCAGCGGCTCCCCTGCTGGTAGGTTTGGCTGTGGAGAGCTCTCCACCTGGATGGGAGTGCGCAGGATGCCGGCACTAGGTGAACGGGGGTCTGCCACTCGGGCCAGAAGCTTGTTGTGCGGCGGAGGCCGCGCCGGAGTGACTGGGAAGCTCTTGGCTGAGCCCATCTCAACCAGGAAGAATAAGGTGGGGCAGGGCCCGGCCCGGGGCGAGGAGGGGACGCCAGGCCCCGATTCCTCTCTTGGGTGCACAGCAGCTCAAATAAATGAATCTTAAAAAAAAAAAAAAAGAAAGAAACCGAACATTGTATCTCAGAAGCTCTCTTTGTCTGTGATGTGGATTTGAATTATACTGCATATTAGACAATATTCATTTCCAAATCATGTTTAAGACATTGCTAGGGAAAACAGCTGTGTGTGTGTGTGTGTGTGTGTGTGTGTGTGTGTGTGTGTGTGAGAGAGAGAGAGAGAGAGAGAGAGAGCGCGCACACTGGGGCAATTATGGCTCCTGGACCGATCTTCTTCAACTATCTCCATTCTGCTCAGCTGTGACTCTGCCCCTCTCTCCATATAATGTGCAGAGGGTGGAGGTAATTTTGTGAGTTTGGGGTCACACAGCTTCCAAAAATCAACTAAAGTCTTCCCATTTATTTTTCTCCTTCAAAGCAGTCAGTTCTGTGCCAGTGGATAACAGGAACCACAATGAAGAAATGGTAAGTTGAATTGGAAGTCCAGAATCTAGACTTTTATCTAGACGCTAGATTCTCCCACTCCTTATCATATCAAACCAAACCAAACAAAACAAAAACAAATGACAGCAACAGGAAACCTACAACAGAGTCTTACAAAGCTAGGTTTTCATCCCTAAGGGGACGGGGGCAGAGAATGTCCCTCCTGCCCTGGCTCTCATTTCCTTCCTGGATGTCTTTAGTGTCCCGGAGGATAGCTGTCATCACCATTTTCCTTCCAACCTGCAAGAAATGGGTGTTTATTTCTCGTCTCTTATGTAATCTTGACCCAATGCTGTTTTGCACTGTTCTGTGGAGAAGCTTCTGAGATTTCACTATGGTCCTGTAAGTCTACATTTCTGCCCCAAGGATCCCACACCAGTACAGGCCACAGAGCCAAGCCTCTTGCTACAGCTGCTCTGGGTTGAGTTAGTCTCTCATCCCAGTGACACCAGCTTTTGCCAACGTGCTCTTGGGTTTCCCCCCACCCCCAGGTGACTCGCTGCATCATCGAGGTCCTCTCAAATGCCTTGTCGAAGTCCAGCACTCCACCCATCACCCCAGAGTGTCGCCAAGTCCTGAAAAAGAGTAAGTGTCCTACACTGCAGGAGATCTTTGTCCCTCAAGTGGTCCTTTCTCCCACTCCCTCCACTACACCTTCCACTTTACCTCCAAATGAAAGGGCGCAGGGGAGGGCATAATGAATTGGGAAGAGTGCGGATTAGACTAGGATCTGGGGAGATAGAAGATAATGGCTTCTAGTCCCACTCTGCCACTTCATAGCTGTGTGGCCATGGGGAAGGACCTCTTGCCTTTCTGGGCTTATTTTCTCAAAGTAAAATGAGGGAGTTGAACTCAATGACAGCCTTTGAGATAGCTATCAGTTCTTAAATTCCTTAGTTCCAGAGTTTGGATTTTTAGAACAGGCTTTCACTTGGATGCAGGGAAGTGTGGGGAGTGCTCATTTGTGATTAGGTCGCAGGAGTTAAGTGTTCTGGGAATGCTGGAAGATGAAAGGATAGAAGGAGATCTTAAAATTATTCTTTGCCTTCTGCTCTTCTGACAGTGAGAAGTTAGAAGCTTGAAGGATGACTTGGAAACTTCTGGCCTCTTTACATGACAGATTGTTCAGGCCATTGTATTTATTTATTTATTAAAGATTTTATTTATTTACTTGACAGAGAGAGACACAGAGAGAGCAGGAACACAAGCAGGGGGAGTGGGAGAGGGAGAAGCAGGCTTCCCGCCGAGCAGGGAGACCAATGCGGGGGCTCAATTCCCAGGACCCTGGGATCATGACCTGAGCAGAAGGCAGACGCTTAATGACGGAGCCACCCAGGCGCCCCTGTTCAGGCCATTTTAATTTAGAGCTGATTAGAATGGGAGGTACTGGGCGCCTGGGTGGCTCAGATGGTTAAGCGTCTGCCTTCGGCTCAGGTCATGATCCCGGGGTCCTGGGATCGAGTCCCGCATCGGGCTCCCTGCTGGGTGGGGAGCCTGCTTCTCCCTCTGCCTCTGCCTCTCTCTCTCTCTCTCTGACTCTCATGAATAAATAAATAAAACATTTAAAAAAAAAAAAGAATGGGAGGTACTACCAAATGGTGGAGAACTGGAAGGGGGAGGCTACAAGAGGAGCAGCCGGTGAGTCAGAGCAGTGACCTTCTGAATCTAGAGTGGGATGCGTTCTCTATACAATCAACTTCTGTTGAAGATAAAATTTGAACAGAAATGCAAGCGGTATCCACTGGGAGTTGACAATGAAAGATCAGTTTTTCAAAAACTATGCCGTCTATCCTATGCATGAAGTCAACCTGATTCAGTCAAATCCAAAACACTGTTCTCTTCAACACCTTCTCTGCTTTTAAATTTTTAGTTAGGCTGGGAATAGTGGATTTGTTTTTCCTGTCACCTCCAAAATCTCCCATTGCAAGATAATACTCTCTTGCTATTGCCGCACATGAGCCCTCATGCATAAAATGGTAAAAACAAGTATTGGCAATTGACCAAAAGAGTAACCTGGCAGGACTCAATCCACCATTGGGGGCTTCAGGGTAATCACAGATGTGGGGACCTGAGCCTCTATAGACCCCATGAATAGTGGGAGGAAGCTTCCCTACCAATCCCAGCATACATATCTTTCTGAATTTCTCCCCAAACTTCTTTTCCAGCCATTACAGGGAATAAATACAGACAGAATGAGTCTTCAGGCAGAGACTAAGGGCAGCTCCTCTGGGCAAACCTGTCTCACTATCTCCCTTCCCCTTCCCTCGTTTACCAGATGGATGCAGAAGTGTGGGGTCTGCCATAGTAGGTCATCAAAGAACTGTGATTGCTTAGGAAGAGCTGTTGAATGTAGGGCTCTGCTTGTCTGCCAAGATCAGACTCAGCCTTTAGGTTGTGGCCATAGTGATTCTAGCCTCTGCTTAACACAGACTGTGCCTTGGGGTCTTTAGATGTCTGTTGAGAGAGACCCAGGGAAACTGATTAAAATCAAATGACTCATGTCTCTCAGAAAGGACCCTGGTGACACTCTACCCAGAGAACTATACAATGCTGAGATTGGGAGGGTTTAAGAGATCCTCCTGGTTGCAGACTCAGCAGCCAAGGCCAGACAGACAGCACAGGGTATAAGGCAGGATGAGAAGTGACTCACAAACTGGAGGATACACGTCCCTTTGCAGGGGGGCGGGGGGCAGATATTTCTCACTTCCAACCCTACTGGTGGAGAAATACAGACTTTGTTATCAGATTTGGATTTTTCAAAAGAAGTTAAAATTTGGATTTGTAAGCAATATCTCCTGGTATTTAAGTATTGCCTTTGAATTTGAAATGACTAAAAATGCTATTTAGGCCAACCAGAACTCACCTCTGAGTTACCACTTTGTGGCTTCTGCCCAATTCTAGTTTTTTCTCCTGCTGATGTGTCTTAAACTGATCAGAAGACTGGTGGAGCTTTTCAGCCAGCTGGATGGATGAAATCTCCCTCCTGCCCCTAGCCCATCTCATCTCCACTCCCCATTCTGTCCAGAGTGTCTGTGGAGCAAGCACATACTTGTTGAGTGAATGAGCACTTAGGGGAATAGAGGAGAATCATTGTTTTACAGCTTGAAGAGACCTTAGGGAATACATAGCCCAATTTCTTAATAGGTAAAAGAATCTGTTTGTCCAGGTTAATCTGGTCATCCTTGCAACAGAGACTTAAGGATAGAAGGTACATTTCCCCCTTTTTTACCGGAAAGTAAGGATAAGCTTCACACCTTGGTTTATCAGATTGACAATGACTATGTGCTGCTAATTACAGTCCTCCTCTGATCTCACCTGCGGGGACTTAAAGCTAAATTTAGGAGGAAGTTCTAAGACTAAGGCACAAGCTGCTACAGGGAGCACAGATTTAACTGGGAAAAAATAAAAATACACTGTTCCTGACCAGTAGGCAGTAGGAAAGGGGTGACACAGCCCCCACCCTGGAAAGCTGAGATCTTGTCTGATTAGGGCTATGACAACTGACTCTCAGAATGATGTCAGTATCTGCCCAAAGCCTCCTTGCTCACCTGTGTCGACCTGGACGGCCCCACCTGCTTCAATGCTGCACTGGCTCTTAAAAGACAAAATCACTGGGGAGGGACCAGCTCTCAGGTGTCTGGGTATGAAAGGTCAGAGACATTTCAGTTGATTCACAAAACATGAGGATGTTATCATGCCAGGCTATGCTTTAAGGAGAGAGGTACTGACCATCCACTATTTTTTGGACATTTTTATAATGACCAATTTTTTCCATTTTGCAAATGTTCAGTTCAAAATGACTCATCAGTGCCATTCAGTAGAAATATATTGTGAACCACAAATATAACTTCAAATTTCTTAGTGGCTGCATTAAAAAAGTAAAAAGAGACAGGAGAAATTAATTTTAATAATATATTTTATTTTTATCCAGTGTATTTTATTCAATATATACTATTACACATCCAATAGATTTATTTATGTATTTATTTATAAAGTTTATCTTTTTTTTTTTTTAGTAATCTCTACACCCAATGTGGGGCTTGAACTCACAACCCCAAGATCAACAGTCGCATGCTTTTCTGCTGAGGCAGCCACGTGCCCCCACACCCAAAATATTTATAATATATATTATCCATTACATCCAAAATATTTCAATATATAATCAATATGAAAAATTGAGATATTTTGCATTTTTTTTTCACACAAAGTCTTCAAAATCTGGTGGGTATCTTAGACTTATAGCTCATCTCAGTTTGGACCAGCCACATTTCAAGTACTCAAAGGGCTGGCAGCTCCCACAACAAACAGTGCAGATCTGGACCCAGAGCTACGAGAGGCCTTGGCTTCAGGAATTCTATCTGAACTCAGTGATGTAAGTTGAAATCCAAGCACTTGGAGCTAACAATCAGACAATGCTAGCTGCATATCACCTTTCATGAAATGCCCTTGAATTAAGGAGGATTTAGTAAAGGAGCTACTGACTTTTGGAAAAGATAGGAGAGGACACATTCAATTAAAATATCAGTTATACCATTTACTGTTGACTAATGAAACACAAAGATAACTCAGTATACTGGTCTTCATCTTCAACATCTGAGAATATGTTGGGCAGATGGGACCTGAGTGATGGAAGAAATGGTTCTTTCTACTGCTGGGCAGTTTTCTCAGGGAAGAAATATACACCCATCTTATCACCAGTTACGAAGTTATATTGTCACTTATTGCTACAGTGAGTCTACACAGTTGATTGGATTAAAAAGGCTGATAAACTAATTATTTAAAATTTTAAATCCTCCTTTGAATCCAGATACTTCCCATTTTGGCTATTTAACTTTATTTAGCTGGATTCTAGCTAGAGCTATTTACATAATGCTAATTTTTTAACCCTTACTTAGAGCAAATACGGAAAGAAGGGTCCCTAATTGTACCTCTCTGAGTCTCAATGTCTTTGCAAAAAGGGGAGATTGAATTAGATGAATTCTAAGGTTTCTTCTGGTTCTAAATTCTAGCATTTCACAAATCTCTATTTGGATTTTAATTTGATCATTAATAGTACCAATGAGAGGGGCATCTGGGTGACTCAGTCGGTTAAGCATCTGCCTTCAGCTCAGGTCATGATCCCAGGGTCCTGGGATTGGGTCCCACATCGGGCTCCTTGCTCAGCGGGGAGCCTGCTTCTCCCTCTGCCTGCATCTCTCCCTGCTTGTGCTCTGTCCCTCTCTCTGACAAATAAAATAAAAATAGAATCTTTAAAAAAAAAAAAAAAGCATCTGCTTTTGGCTCAGGTCATGATCCCAGGGTCCTGATATCAAGCCCCACTTCGGGCTCCGTGCTCAGCAGGGAGTCTGCTTCTCCCTCTCCCTTTGCCCCTCCCCCCTGCTTGTGCGCTCTCTCATTCTCTCTCTCTCAAATAAATAAAATCTTTAAAAGAAAATAGTACCCATGAGAAATGCTGGCTGGGTGTTATGAAAAAAGTAAAAATAGAGTTTATTATTAGAGTTAAACACAGCCAAGGAGCTTTCATACCATTTTCTTTTAAAAGGAATCTGAGTATACTTTTTATTAACTTAAAAAATTATCCAAGTAATTTTTCAGGTCCTTTGGTTTTGTAGTATCATTGAGGCTGGTGCTTGTTGAACCACAAGCAATTCTGGAAGTTACACTTATGCTTCTTTATTTTCATTATAGGTAGAAAAGATGTCAAAGATGAAGAGAAAAGTGAAAATGAAAACACACAGTTTGAAGTAAGATTGTTAAGAGACCAAGCTGATGCCTCAGAAGCCCACAGGCCTTCTGGTAGGGAGGAAGTCCCAGGAGAGGAGGACACCCAAGGTCCGACAGTGGCAGACACAGAGGGAGGGGGGCACAGCCGAGGAGCAAGCGAACCCCAAGGAGACCTCTACTCCTCTGACAGCCAAGTCTCCAAAGAAGCAAAGACACGCCATTTTGAGAAAACCGAGGAAGAGGACAGGAAGGAAGAGGAGGGGGAGAAATATCAGAAAAGGGAGCATGGGAGAGACGGCAGTGAAGAGAAAAACCTGGAAGAGCTAGAAGAGACACAAAATGCCTTTCTCAACAAAAGAAACCAGGCTACAGCTAAGAAAAAAGAGGAGTTTAAGGCCAGATATGGTCTACACTCTGCTGGGCCCCCTGAGGAGAAGACACACAGCCGGGAGAGGAGCAGCCAGGAGAGTGGAGAGGATATAAGAAGCCAGGAGAAACACCCTCAAGAGTCTAAAAGCCAAGTTGGGAGTCAGGAAGAATCTGAGGAAAGTGAGGAAGATGCTGACCCTGAGGTGGACAAACGACGTTGGAAGCCAAGACACCACCATGGGAGGACCAGGCCTGACAGGTCCTCTCAAGAAGGGAAACCTCCCTCCGAGGAAAGGGGACACCTCCGTGAGGAATCTGAGGAGTCAAACATGGGCATGGTCGGATTGGGGGACAAGAGGGACCACCATCTAGCCCACTATAGGGCTTCAGAGGAAGAACCCGAATATGGGGAAGAAATGAGGAGTTACCAGGCTGTCCAGGCTCCCAAGGACCTGGAGCAGGGACGATATGGGGGCAGAGGAAGTGAGGAGTACAGGGCTCCAAGACCTCCCAGTGAGGAGAGCTGGGAGGAGGACAAGAGAAATCGCCCCAGCTCAGAGCTTGACAACACAGCACAGGGATATAATGAAGAAAGTGAGGAAGAGAGGGGCCATGAGGGGGGATACCACCACAGAGCCAGGGGAGGGAAACTAGGTGCATATGCCATTCTAGACAACAAAGAAGAAAAACAGTTCTTGGGTGAAGGACACCACCGTGTCCAAGAAAGCCAGATGGACAAGGCAAGGAGGCACTCACAAGGTGAGTGGAAAGAGGAGGACAGAAATTACCTCAACTATGGCAAGGAAAGGGGTGAGGAAGAAGCCCAAGGGAAGTGGCAGCAGCAGGAGGACCTGGAAGATGCTACGGAGAGCAGGGAGGAAGCTAGGCTTCAAGGCAAACAGTATGCTCCCCATTACACCACTGACAAGAGGAAGAGATTAGGGGAGCTGCTCAACCCATACTATGACCCTTCCCAGTGGAAGAGCAGCCATTTTGAGAGAAAAGACAACATGGATGACAATTTTCTTGAGGGTGAAGAGGAAAATGGGCTGACCTTGAATGGGAAGAATTTCTTCCCAGAATATAACTATGACTTGTGGGAGAAAAAGCCCCTCGAAGAGGATGTGAACTGGGGATATGAGAAGAGAAATCTCTCCCCCAAACTGGATCTGAAAAGGCAGTATGACCGAGTGGCTGAACTAGACCAGCTCCTTCACTACAGGAAGAAGTCAGCCGAATTTCCAGACTTCTATGACTCTGAGGAGCAGATGAGCCCACGCCATGCAGCAGAGAATGAAAAGGACAGGGCTGGCCAGGGAGTTCTGACAGAGGAAGAGGTAGAGTGTGGGGCTTTTGTTTAAAATTATGATGGTTAATGTTAATATCTTCAAGACTATCTGAAAGTAATGTGGAGAAATTGGTGGGAATTAATTACCATGAGGATGTACCCCCAGTAAGAGCGTGGCGACAACCTCTGGGTTTAAGTTCTGTTGTCCATATCCTTGCCCACTTACCCTATTGCAGTGCTTCTCAACCTCGGCTGTATGTTGGAATCACCTGGAGGGCTTGAGTAATTACTGACGTTTGGGATCCACCCCCAGGGATTCTGTCTATTTGGTGCTGGGTGCTACTTGGGCATCAGGATTTTTCCAAGCTTCCATGCGGTTTCAGTGTTCAGCCAAGGTTGACAACCCCTCTTTTGGTGTCTTCTTGGTCATTTAACTTTTCATCACTATTTCCCAGGGTAAGAAGGAACAGATGATTTAGAAATTAGTTGCTTTAGTCTATCCTTATCAGCTACTGGACTATAAAAATTAGTTTACATCTCAGATAGTTAACATTATCAGAACCGTACCTGCCTAAACGATGATTTTTTTCCCTAATATTGAATTATGCTGGTTGGTGTTTCTCAAACTGGAATGTGCATCAGAATCTCAAGAGATTCCTAGCCTTCAGAGTTTCTGATTGAGTAGGTCCTGGGTGGGGCCCAAGAATCTACATTTCGGGTAAGTTCCTTGGTGATGCTGATGCTGATGCTTCTGGTCAGGGGACCACTTTGAGAATCGCTGATGCAGGGTGTCTCATATGGCTCTAACATATCAAAAATTCCCTCCTGTTCATACTCCCTCAAACCACAATAAAATTAATCGATCTGGAACTTCATGCCTCCACTTTTCTGTATTTTCTAGGAAAAGGAACTTGAGAACCTAGCTGCGATGGATCTGGAACTACAGAAAATAGCTGAGAAGTTCAGTGGTAACCAAAGGGGCTGATGGCCGTTGGAGCAAAGGGCAGTTTTAAGGAGCAGCCCTCACATTATCTATTTTCCACCGCTTCACTGAAAGACACCATTTAGTTACCCAAAGCAGAAAGTAGAAGTTACTGTTCATTCAGTGTTTGACACAATTGGAAATGCTTTAATTTTTGCCAGAATGCTATTGAAAATACGAATAGCATGACTTGTAGCATATCCTTTCTCGCAAAATAGACATATTAACATGCTTGTGACAATGACTGTGCTGTCATCCTTGAAAAAAAAAATACATTTGTCTTAGTTTGAAATAATAAAAGATTCACCTGAGGCCAAAGTTTCTTGTTCTTAGCTTCCTTTGGGCTAACAGGGAGGAGTGTGATTTTCAAATCTATTCTTTAAAGTAAAATTTAAAAGATAGCACTAGGATTTGTTGGTCTTTGGATGCAGAAGAGGGGAAAAAAAAGCAAAACTTGGAAGTAAAAGAATGTCCACAATATAAAGTGAAAGAGTACAGGAAAAGACATCTGTTCCCTCAGGGTAAAGAAAGATTATTAAATAGGCTTGAAGAAAAGATTTCAAAAATGACCATAAGACATTTACTTTTTAAATCCTATTATCTGGAAAGCTCTGGGAGTAGCCAGCCATGGGTCATTTTTCAGGGCTTAAGGAGGAGAGAGCCTGGATAATGGGAAGAACTCTGGACTGGGAATCGGAACATGTGGGCTAGTCCAGACAGATTCTGAGCCCTTGGGGCCTGATTTCTACTGTGTAAGAAGACGGGGCTCTGACTCTCTTACTAAGTAGCTGTATGACTTCGGACAGGTTGTTTTCCCTCTCTGGACCTCAGGTTCATCAGTAAAATAAGGATACCTGCCTTACTAGGTTGTTACGAGGATGACTGGAGTATGCAAAACAGTTAGAATAGTGCCTGGCATATGGCATGGTGTAGGAAATGTTGGCTGCTACCATTATTAACCCCGCAGCTAGCTTCCTACGGCAAGACAGGTGGAAAATGTCCTCTTCTCCTTTCTTTGACCTGTCATCTCATTCCTCACCAATGGTGCCTCCGAAGGGATTGAGCCCCAGGTGCCACAGCAGTGAGCCGCTTGGTAATATACCCTTTCTAGGCTGTCTTTATCTCCCTGTCCCACTTCCTACTGGTAACCTCAACTGATGTTTCCTGGAATCACCTCCCAAATAAACTGCTTGTCCTCAACTTATTTCAGGGTCGGCTTCTGGGGGACCGCAACCTAAGAAACCATCCAAAGCTAAGCTTGTATTATGGCAAATATATTTAAGGTACTGCCATTATAACCCTTTGTGTTACCGCATCTTGATACAAGTTACTAAGAAATGCTTAACACATTGCAGTAGACACATCTCTCCTTTTTCTCTATCGCAGCTCAGCAGAGAACAAAATCGCTTCCTAATAAAGAGGATTCAAGGGCCCAAGACAAATAAGGATTTACTCACTGGATAAGGGAAGGCAAAACACGGCAATGCACCAAATGCTAGCCTGGCAGGTCACACACACACACACACACACGGCAATGCACCAAATGCTAGCCTGGCAGGTCACACACACACACACACACACACGGCAATGCACCAAATGCTAGCCTGGCAGGTCACATACACACACACACACACACACACACACGGCACTGCTCATGAGAAGCTGCCGGCTGCTGGCAGGTGGAGCATAGCCTTGCATGGTCCTGGCTTCCTGTTGATGTCCTGTGCACTGGCCCATCCTTTCCGTTTAGTTTGCAAACACCTCAGGGCGGGGCAAGATGTAGGCACAGATGACCTATCAAGGATACAGGAGACATTCAAGAAATCCCACCTGATCCATGGTGCCAGCAGAGGGCAATTAGGATCTCTGGGGATGCCATGCCACCTTTTCTTTAAGATGAACTCAAGGACTACCCAGGCCACTGTTTTCTCCTCTTTTGATCAAAGTAATATATGTTGATGGCAAGACATCAAGTAGTCCTGAAAAGCATATAGTGGGTTGAACTGTGTCCTCCAAAATGTTACGTTGAAGACTTAACCCCTGGCACCTGTGAGTGTGACCTTATTTGAAGATAGTCTCTGCAGATGCAATCAAGTTATGATGAAGTCATTAGAGTAGGCCCATATCCAGTATGACCAGTGTTCTTATAAGAGGAGGAAAATGTGGATAGACACAGAGGAGAATGTCATGTGAAGACATAAAGATGGTGGCAGAGACTGAAGCTGGGCTGCCACCAGCCAAGAAACATCTGGGGTCACCAGACGCTGGAAGAGCAAAGAAAGATTCTCCCCTAGAACTTTCAGGGGGAGAATGGCCCTGCAGACACCTTGATTTGGAACTTCTGTGAGACAACACATTTATGTTGTTTTAAGTCACTCAGTTTTTGATTCTTTGTTAGGGCGGCCCTAGGTATCTAATACTATCAGAAACAATGGCCTGTAACCCTCTCCTCCCAAATCCTTCCACAGATGTAACCATCTGTATTTTAGAGTTCTTCTCCTATTTGAATATTTTAACTGTCATGGTTTCTAATATTTTATCAAGGAGGAGTTAAGGCATAGTGATGGAACAGGAGGAGAGAAAGGGTTCTAGCATTACAAAATGAAAATACACAACATATCACTGTAAAATATAGTGTAATTGGGAGATCTCAGGTGCTAAAATAATTGACTAACTGCAATAATTACTACTCTGTAGCCCAGAAACCAGTCACTTGGGTACATGGCAGTCCTCACTGAGAAAGTAAAACACCTAAAGAAAGTGAGGGTGTAAGCCATGTGGACCCCTTGGGGAAGGACACTTCAGGCAGAGAGCAATAAGTGCAAAGGCCGGGCGCCTGGGTGGCTCAGATGGTTAAGCGTCTGCCTTCGGCTCAGGTCATGATCCCAGGATCCTGGGATCGAGTCCCACATCGGGCTCCCCGCTCAGCGGGGAGCCTGCTTCTCCCTCTGACCCTCTCCCCTCTCATGCTGTTTCTCTCTCGCTCGCTCTCTAAAAAATACATAAAATCTTTAAAAATAAAAAAATAAGTGCAAAGGCCCCGAGACAGTAACGTGGTTGGTATGTTCGAAGATGAGCAGGGAGGCCCACGTGGAGGACATAGGAAGTGAAGTGGCATGGGCTAGATCACACAGGGCTCTGTAGGCCCTTGGTAAGGCCTTGTGCTTTCGCAACTGGAGAGGTCTCAGTAGAGGACTGACAATATTTGCTTTACGTGATAACAACACTCCAGCTCCCAGGCACAAACACAAAAACCAGTAAGGAGACCACTGCAATAATCCTGGTGGGTCACTGTGATGTCTTGGACCAGGGTGTGGCACTGGGGGTAAAGAGAAGTCATCAAACTATGGATCTATTTTGGAGACAGAGGACAGGTAGGGCTGAAGGATTTGGTGTGGCATAAGTGAAAGAGAGGTGTCAAGGATGAAAGCTTTAGGCCTGAGCAACGGGGAACAGCAGAGGTAGGGAGAACTGTAGGAGGGACTGGTTTGGGAAGGAAGATACAGGGAATTCAGGTTGGGTTATGTTAAGTCTAAGATGTGACCAGACACCCAAGTGGAGGTGTTGAGTCAGGTATATGGGCCTGGAGCTCAAGGGGCAGGGGGAGGATCTGTTCTAAAGACATCATGTGGGAGTCATCATCATAGAGATGCCATTTAAAACCGGAAAACCAATAAATGAAGCCCAAAGTTAGTAGAAGGAAGGAAATAACAAAGATCAGGGTGGGAATAAATGAAATAAAGACTAAAAAGATAATAGAAAAGTTCAGCGAAACAAAGAGCTACTTCTTTAAAAAGATCAACAAAATTGACATGCTTATAGCTAGACCTACCAAGAAAAAAAGAGAGGGCTCAAATAAATAAAATCAGAAATGCAAGAGGAGCTGTTACAACAGACACCACAAAGGATCATAAGATACTACTATGAATAATTATATGCCAACAAATTGGACAACCTAGAAGATATGGATACATTCCTAAAAACATACAACCTTCCAAGACTGAATCATGAAGAATTAGAGAATCTGAACAGACCAATTACTAGTAAGTAGGTTGAATTAGTCAACAAAAACCTACCAACAAACAAAAGTCCAGGACCAGACGGCTTCACTGGTGAATTCTACCAAACATTCAAAGAGGAATTAATACCAATTCATCTGAAAATGTTCCAAAAAATTGAAGAGGAGGAAATCCTTCCAAATTCATTTTTATGAGGCCAGCATTACTCTAATACCAAAACCAGACAAGGACACAAGAAAATTACAGGCCAATATCCCTGATGAACATAGATACAAAAATCCTCAGCAAACTGAATTCAACAATACATTAAAAGGATCATACACCGTGATCAAATGGGATTTATTCCAGAGATATAAGGATGGTTCAACATCTGTAAATCAATTAACATGACACACATTAACCAAACAAAAGACAAAAATCATCTGATTATCTCAATAGATGTAGAAAAAGCATTTGACAAAATTTAACATTTATTTATGATAAAAGCTGTCAACAAAGTAGGTATAGATATATAGGTATAGGTCTTACCTCAACATAATAAAAACCATATATGACAAGCCCATAGCTAACATCCCACTTAATGGTGAAAAACTAAAAGCTTTTCCTCTAAGATCAGGAATAAAATAAGGATGCCCACTCTTGCCACTTTTATTCAACATAGCATTGGAAGTCCTAGGCACAGCAATCAGGTAAGAAAAGAATTGGAATCCAAATTGGATTGGCATCCAAATTGGAAAGAAAGAAGTAAAACTGTCAAGATTTGCAGATGACATGATTTTACATACAGAAAACCTTAAAAACTCCACCAGAAAAAACCCATTATAATAAATGAATTCGGTAAAGTTACAGGATACAAAATCAGTATACAAAAATCTGTTGTGTTTCTATACACTAACAATGAACTATCAGAAAGAAAAATTCAGAAAAAAATCCCATTTACAATTTCATCAAAAAGAATAAAATATCTAGAACTAAATTTTTTTTAAAGATTTTATTTATTTGAGAGAGAGAGAGAGCACGAGAGGGGGGAAAGGCAGAGAGAGGGAGAAGCAGACTCCCCAAGCAGGGCTTGATCTCAGTACCCCAGGATCATGACCTGAGCTGAAGGCAGACGCTTAACTGACTGAGCCACCCAGGCGCCCCTGTGCAGAAGCTTTGTAGTTTGATGTAGTTCCACTTGTTGATTTTTGCTTTTTTTTTTTTTT